TCAAACCAAACTTTTCAAGCAAGGTTTCAGCATACTTCTTTTGATGAATGAAGATGCTATTTGCCTCTTGAATTACCCCAATGCCAAGAAAATGATGTAAGAGGCCAAGATCAGTCATTTCATACATCTTCATCATCTATTCTTTAAATTCTTCAATCATTGCAGCATTATTTCCAGTGTAGACAACATCATCCACATAGATTGAGACAATGAGTGTCTTGTCGTTGTTTGTCTTGGTGTAGAATGTAGCCTCACTAGGACTCTTCTGAAATCATTTCTCAGTGAAATAGGAATCGATCTCGCTGTACCAAGCTCTCGGAGCTTGCTTTAGACCATGAAGCGCCTTTCTTAGTTTGTACATCTTTTCTAGAAACTCTTGACATGTGAACCTTGAGGTTGTTCCACAAACACCTCCTCATCTAACACTCTATTTAGAAATGCAGATTTGACATCCAATTGATGCAACTTCCAACCTTTTTTGGCTGCTAGGGCTATCAAGGTCCTTATGGTGTCTAACCTTGCTATTGGAGCAAAGGTTTCATTGAAGTATACACCAGACTTCTGAGAGTAGCCTTTAGCTACCAATCTGGCCTTGTTCTTCTGCACAGAACCATCTAGGTTAAGCTTCACTTTGTATACTCATTTTACACCAATTATAGGCTTGTCACTTGGTCGATTTACAAGTTCCTAAGTGTCATTCTTCTCAATCATTTCAAGCTCTTCCTTCATTGCTTTCTTCCAAGCTTTGTCTTTCTCAGCTTCTTCATATGTTTCTGGTTCCACTACACAGTAATTACACGTAGCATAAATCTTATCCAAGTTTCTTAATCTCACCGGAGTTGAACTTAGAGTTGTTATCTATGATTGACTGGATTGTGTACTCATACTAGCTTGCTGTGGAGTCCCTTGTATGTCACCATTATATGTGACTTCTTTTTTAACTGAGATCTTCATAGGCTCCCTTGTTTGCCTTTTGTTTAAATCAAGTTGTACAGAGATATTATCCTTCTATTCCACTCTTGTTTCCCAGTTCCATGTTGAGTCTTCATTAAATATAATATCCCTTGACAAGATTATCTTCTGAGTTAACAAATTATAAACTTTGTACCCTTTCTCACTGGTACCATAGCCCATAAAAACACCATTGTTACTTGATTTCTCCAACTTATGCCTTAGTTGGTGAGGGATACGAGTGTAGCACACTGAGCCAAACACTTTCAGGTGCTTCACAGAGGGCTTCCTTCCACTGAACACTTTGAATGGTGTCTTCTTATCCAGTGTTTTAGTAGGGCACCTATTCAATAGGTACACTGAGGTGTTCACAGCTTCACCCCAGAATGTACAAGGCATGTTCTTCTCATGCATCATAGACTTAGCCAGTTCGACTATAGTCTTATTTTTTCTTTCTGCAATGCCATTTTGCTATGGTGAATATGCCACAGTGAGTTGCTTTTTCAACCCCACATCTTCATAGAATTCATTGAACTCTTGTGAGGTGTACTCACCACCTCTATCACTTCTTAGTCTTTTGATTTGGTATCCACTTTGCAATTCCACCATTGCCTTAATTTTTTTTAATATTGTGAATACTTCTGACTTAAACCTCATGAAATACACCCACACATCCGTGAGTAATCATCAATGAAGGTTAGGAAATACCTGTTTCCACTGATTGTTGTTGTTTTCATTGGTCCACACACATCTGTGTGACTCAATTCGAGTGGCTTTGTTGCCCTCCAAGCCTTGCCTGCTTCAAATGGATCCCTGTGATGCTTCCCAAATACACATCCTTCACAGGTTTCTTTGTAATGATCCATCTTTGGTATCCCTTGTACCATTTCATACTTTTGTAGATTTTCTAGGCTTGTCATGTTTAAGTGACCAAACCTCTTGTGCCATAGTTTCATTGAACATGTCACACTTGCTTTCCTTGCCACTTGTTCTAAGTACTTCAACACAAGTGGAAAGCTTCTGTTTTTCACTTCCACTTTGGTCACCAAATTTGATGGAGATCTGTCATCATAGATCTCAACCACAGTTCCCCCAAAGAGTAGGAAATAGCCATGCTCCATCATTTGACCCACACTAAGTAGGTTTTCATCCAATCCTGGCACTAGCATCACATCCCTTATGCATCTTCTTCATTTCTTGGTGTTGATAACCAGAGTTCCTCTTCTAGTGGCCTTGACAATGTTCCCATCACCCATTTTCACATTTCCAGTGAAGTTTGTATCAATATCAATGAGTAAAGACTTATGTGCAGTCATGTGGTTTCTACAGCCACTGTCAACGTACCACACTTCATTGTTTTTCTCCACTTTTGCACTAAAAGCACATAACACATTTGCTTCTTCCTCCACTTGATTTGCACAGTTCACTTGCTGTACATTCTTTGATCTGCAGTATTTCATAATGTGGCCAAACCTGTTGCATTTGTGGCACCTAGGCTTGTCTTTGAACCAACATTCTCCAAGATGAAATTTGTCACAATGTTTGCATTGTTGTTTGGTTCTTGGACCTGTATTTGTGTTGCTGCCTTGGTTAGGTATAGAGTTGTGATACCCCTTTCCTTCCAATTTCTTGTTCTTGCCCTTCCACTGTGGTTTCTAATTGCTTGCACTGGCTTGACTACCAAATCCAACATTGAGTGATTGAAAGGCTTTCTCAGGTGCAAAATTAGCATGCCTCTCAAGCCTTTGGTCAAAAGCTCTTAAGGATGCCATCACATCTTGCACACTGAGAGTTTTAGTGTCTTTGGTTTCTTCAATAACACTCAATATTGAATCATATGGTTTAGTCAAACTGATTAACAGTTTCTGGACAATTCTTTCATTAGGCAGTTCCTCAGCATATGTTTTCATTTTGTTTACCATATCAAACAGCCTAGTAAAGTAGTCTTTTAACAGCTTATTCTCCCTCATTCTTGTATACTCAAAATCTCTTATAAGGGACTGAAATTTTACCTTTCTGACTTTAGTGTCTCTTCTATACTCTTGTTGTAAAACTTCCTAAGCTCCATTTGCAGTCTTTTCATTTGCTATCCTCGGGAAAATGATGTCTGAAACAGTACCTTGGATGATTCCAAATGCTCTAGCATCCTCCATTTGGTTCTACTTCAGTGTCTTGAGTTGTGCTTCCGTGAGGTCCTCCTCTAGAGCATTGACCTCCATCTCAGGTAGTTCATACCCATGTTGAACCATATCCCATAGATCATAGGATTTGAAAATGGTTGTCATTCTTATTCCCCAAAAATCATAATTCTCCCTATCAAAGATTGGAGCTTTTAGCTCACTGCTACTGTTGGATCCCTTCATTTTTAGAATTGTTTGTTGGTTGTTGTTGTTGAGGACACTTCGTTGGTGCTCCCAAAAATCTTAACTTGCGCAGATTACGCCCAAAAAGTTTTTCAGATCAGAAACTGAGCTCTGAGGCTATGATAAAGTTGATTTGTCTTTGGTGTTTTTGGTTGGTTTATTTTGATCAGTTTCTTAAGGATAGAATGGCAGAGAATTGAGAGGATATTGGAGTGTGATTTTCAACTTCAAGGATGTGCATTACAAAATGCATTCGCCATAAGTAGTGAAAATGTGTAAGGGTATGGTACATTTCCATCACCCATACTTGTGTAAAAGAGTTGGTGATAAGACAGTATTTAAACACTAAATTACCTTACTATTCCAGATTAAATCCTAGCCCTTCATTGGGATTTAAGTGATCTAATTTGGAGTGTACATTTGTCACTCACACATCTAAATAAAAAACTAGCCGTTGGAGGCCAACCCTCCCTTTCTTCTTCTTCCTTCTTCTTCCTTCTTCGATGCAGATAGCACCCTTTACTAAGGAGCTCCTTGCTGCCTTCGACCCCTCGTCTCCAAGAGCTAGTTAGCTTTTAACAGTACCCGTAACCCTAACACACATATACAGAATGCAACAAACATACGCATACCTATTATGCTGCTGTAAATTTGAAATTACAGATAATATTCCTCCTCACAAACCTTAAAACGAAAATTGAAAAGCATACCAAAAGGATTCCGAATCATCTCACCTCGAAGCTTCATCAGTTGGGCTGGAATTGGATTCTTCCCGTGCCCGGAACCTTGTTCGGCCAGGGACTTGGACTTAGCCTTCGCCTTTGATATGGCTTTGGGTCGGCGATACATGATTTTTGTCACAGAGAAGAGGTTGCACGAGTCATTTTTCTTTGTTTTGGTTGCATTGTCGAGTGTGTTTGCGACTAGTTAGACAAAGTTCTATACTAAACGGTACCAATAGGGAGGTGAGTTCAGCCTACTATAGGGGTGGGGGCGAGCAAATTTGCACTCTTATATTTTGTTGATTTGTCATTCTAGAAACTAATGATAAAAAATAATCTCAAAATCTGATGAACAAAATGTGAGCGAATTGTAATTTAATTTATTATTAAGTTATTTATATTGTATATAAAAAAGTATTTAACCATGGTTAATTAAAGTACTTAACCATAGTTAATTAAAGTACTTAACCATAGTTAATTAAAGTACTTAACCATAGTTAAGCCACCACCACGCTATAAGATGGTCGGTAACACTCACCACGTAGTAAGGGTAGTGAACAAATTCGAACTCAAATATGATAAAAACGAAAACGTACGTTCATTCATTTGCTTTCTTACTCTTTTCTACTAAAAAATTACTGATCACCAGTTCTTTCCCTATTTGATCAATTTTAACGGTCTCGTAATAGTCTTTCCTTGTAGACAAAATTTGTATAACAAACATTATATTTAAATTTTCACCTTCGATATTTTTCCTTAATTATCGAGGCTTTTGCCAGATGGGGAAGCTTTGCAACTTATTGTTGCCCAGAAAATAAGACGAAAGGTTCGTTGCATGGAAATTACATACCCCCACCAGATGTAACGTGCACCCCAAGCAACCATTGCCAGGGCCTCGTCAGTCCATTCAAAATTCAAAGCAAGATATCTGGGCATCAAAGATCCAGTCCAATTTGCAACAGAATTCGAAAAATAACCACCACCATCTTTGGTTGATGATTAGTTAGTTTCATTCAAAGTCACTCGCAACAATTATCAATTAAAAACACCACCAATACATGCAAATCAAAGCAAACTCTAAATTAAACACAGAAAACACTATGTTTATCCGTCAGCCATGAATGGCAACGATTGAATTATCTAACTCAAGTATTCCAGGTCAGACATGAGTCCATGTTAAGAACATGTAATATAGAGTGCTGAAATGAAACGATAATTCAACAACTGCTGCATGTATGCACCCAGGAACCTCCTCAGATTCAACAATCAGAAATCAGCAGGATGATATATCATTGATAAAAAATCAGAAGGATGATATATCACTGGTCAAAAGGGTGGGACTGGGAGAACCCTAAGAGTCCTTATCTTCAGGGAAGAAGAACTCTTTCCATAATCTAGTTTTTTCGATCTTTTTGTTCGGCTTCAGGCATTCTGAGGTCCTGTGGTGACCAATCTCATCACAGAAAGAACACCAAAGGATATGAACACGCCTCCCGTATATTTCATAGCCTTTGCCAACTTGAGTTACACCGAAGGGGAGACGTCTCCTCCATGGACATTGTTCAGGAGCGTGGCCAAACTTAGTGCAAATTGGACAACTAGATGGCAATTCGGAAACTATGCGTGGCTCGACTATGCATTTGGGTATTTTGTCCTCCTTGGAAAAAGCTGGGCAAGTACCCTTCTCCTCTAGTTGGATTTGAGCCAGAGAGTCTGCAACAGCCTTTACATTCTTGAGGTGAGTCGTCGGAGAGTCTTTAACAGCCGCCTTTCTCTCTTTCTTCTTCTCTGTGTGTTTGGGAAAATGTACAGATATTAATAACATAGATAAGTTAAGTAGGCCCTCTGGACTCGGCCTTAATTCCTTTGTATTCTCAATCTCATTCATCATTGGAAATACTTACTACAAATGCTTCATGCTCAATTACGTGCTACTACACAGGGTTAATTTGTTAGGATAACAAAGCTAAATATGTATAAAATAAATAACTACTGGAAATTAACACTCCCCTACGACTACGAAATTTTGTTAAGAATTCTTTCGGCACGAGTAACTGGCCTGGCCAAATCAAACTGGATTGCAATAATTGATTGATTGTGAATAGAATATCATCTGGCTAGCTATATACGAAATTCAGTTGAAAATTATACTCAGTAACTAGGCAAATCAATCAAGATTGCGATATATACTTAATTGACTGTAAAAAGAATTTTTAGCTATTATTACTTAATGAATCAGTTTATAAAAATAAAACAAACATCAACATAACAAGGGAATCTGAATTTTACGAACATAAAAAATAAGACATCAAGAACCCAAATTAATTAATGAATCAATTTATAAAAATAAAACAAACACATATTTTCAACATAAAAAGGGAATTTGAATTTTATGAATACAAAAAATAAGCCGTAACCCTAATTTAAAATATATGCAGACTCCAACAAACATATGCGGCCCAATTATGCTGCTGTAAATTCAAAATTACAGATAATATTCCTCCTCAGAAACCCTAAAAACGAAAATTGAAAAGCATACCAAAAGGACTCCGAATCTCACCTCGGAGCTTCGTCGGTTGGGCTGGAATTGGATTCTTCGCATGCCCGGATCCTTGTCCGGCGAGCGACTTGGACTTAGCCTTCGCCCTTGATGTGGCTTTGGGTCGGCGATGCATGGATTTTGTCAGAGAGAGGGAGAGAGACCGCACTCTGCCCGCGTCCTCCTATTATTATTTTTTTGGTTGGATTGTCGAGTCGACTGTGTTTGGAGCTGGTTAGACAGACTTATATACCAAACCTTCAAAGTGGAATTGACTATAATACCCTTCACATTTATTTGATTGTCTTTTGTTTCCTTTTTAATCTAATACAACCCAACATGAATCTCCATGATTTATGGACTGGGGCTAACAACACAGATAAATTAACATTTTTTTTAACAAGAAATATTATATACACTAAGAGAACGGGGAAGTGAGCTAAGTATCACAATGAGAAATCATAATAATGTAGTTTAAATTCGCTTTTGGCGAGAATCGAACATAAGATCTCTCACTTACAAGTGAAGAGAAATATCACTAGACCGTAATACTAAGTGGCCAGATAAATTAACACTTAAGATATGAGGTTTAAAGTGAAGGTTGAATCAACTTCGGATTGTTACAAATTGTTACGAGATTTACGAACAAATTTCAAGAGTCTCATTTTGAAAACCAAATCTCTACGTTGTCAACCTTCTAACTACTAACTTCATTTATTTGTCTTTAAACTGTCACTACTTATGTAGTTATGCTACTATTTGCGAAAATCGTACATTCTTATGTTTCAAATTATTTCACCTAAATTATAATTGTATCCAATTTCATACGGGAGATTTTTATGCACACTATTTGTACCATACTTGACCAATCCCGAAACTACCGTGTACCGGTCAACGTTATACCGTCAAGGACCCAGAAGAGTTTTCCTCTAACCAAGAGGTCAATCACAGCACGACACGTGTCGACATCATAAGCCAATCATAGCGCGACACGTGTCAACATAGAAGCCAGTCACAACACGACACGTGTCAATGTCAGAACAAAGCTAAAAACTCTCTTCTATAAAAGGAGATCATTCTCCCACAATATTTCCTAATATCATTTGTACTAAATCATTCACTAATACTCACTAAAGGAGAGCTTGAACCTATGTACTTGTGTAAGCCCTTCACAATTAATGAGAACTCCTCTACTCCGTGGACGTAGCCAATCTGGGTGAACCACGTACATCTTGTGTTTGTTTCCCTGTCTCTATCCATTTACATATTTATCCACACTAGTGACCAGAGCAATCTAGCGAAGGTCACAAACTTGACACTTTCTGTTGTACCAAAGTCCTCACCGATTTTGTGTATCAACCTTTGGCGTCGTCTGTGGGAACGACACTTATTCCCATTCTCTTCAGCTTTGTCAAGCTGGTTTCCACCATTCGTACACTCTCTTTTGACCAGGCATCCCTCTCCAACATGGGGAGTGGAGGAAGCCACGGCACACAGAATGACACCCCTCTTGCACCTAGTGCGAAGCAACGAAAGAAGAAAGGAAAGAAGCTCGCTCTTCAAGCTAAAGTCGATGAGCTGGAGGCTCAGAACAACAAGATAGCAATAAAGAATGAGATCCTTCAAGAACAATATGAGAAGCTCTTCGAGACGTTCCACGAAACTAGGCATAACGTGAGCTTGTTGCCTTTGTGGACATCAACCATAATCTGGGTGCCCCCCAACACGGAGGGTCACCTTCCTTCGACATGGGTATCCTTGGTGAGGAGCGAGCTAATCATCAAAACATTGATCAACATTAGACTTCTCTCAACCCAGCTGTTTCGACCTGAAGCAGGAGAAGTGGAGGAAGACACCTCCTTGCAGAAGGGTTAGAAGGATCGAAAGTAGTTTATCGTGACCCAAGGGTTTCTGAAAGACTCAAGGGTATCTTAAAGCAACGTCGAGAGAATCCCCTCCACATAAGCTTGAAGATCAATGACCCAAAGGTTTCTGAAAAACTCAGTCCCCTCCCACGATCCAGGCCAACTGCCCATCTAAGGAATGAACGATAGGTCCCAGAGGAATATGAAGGTACAAAGAACTCGAAGGTATTCCAACATACTCACCCTAGAAGTCAGTACGGCGAGTCCAAGGAAAAATTACACGTTCTTACTCAAATTTTCCTACTTCCGAGAGATGATGGAGACTTACAGAAGAAAATTCCAGTGGTACATGACTCCACTCAGGACCCCCTTGTCCTAAGGTCAAACGTTATGCCGAGATACCTGACTGTAACCAACCCAGGCCTGGCCCTCTCACAAGGATGATCCTCGACACCCCCTTCAAGTGAAGACAAAACAAAAGCTTGATTTACAACTCTATACTGGAAGGGAGGACCCGATTAAACACCTTAACCTCTTTGAGTCCACCATGGCATATCAGATGCACACCGACGAAGAACGATGTCTTCTCTTCCTTTCCACCCTCTCTGACGGAGCTCTAAACTGGTATTATCGTCTTCCACCGGAGACAGTAGACTTATTTGAGGAACTAAGGAAACTGTTTGTCTCTTAACACATTTTCCAGACCGATTGCTTACATTCTGCAGAAGACCGCCCTCAAAGCCTTCACGGAAGGCCTACGTGATTGTTTCTTCAAGCACATAATCAATGCCAACACTTGGAAGACTTACTCTGAGGTGATGACACATGCTTACAACCACACCTCCGCCGAAGCAAGGATATACCAAGGGAACCCCCATATGGTTAACCCCTATCAACCAGTGGGAAGTGGAAGTCAAGTTCTACCAAGTGAAGAGATCTTGGCCATTCAGACACTTATTGCATCATCTCCTGCCTCATTTAGCTACTCGCTAAGTTACCAAATGTATTTGTCTCTTGGTAAGAGGAAGGATTTTTACTCTCAGCAAGCCCATTACAACAAGAGGGATAAAAGTTTGTATCAAGACAACCAGGGGAATGTACCGTCGACTATTATGACTATGGGGCCAAGCCTCACTCTTTCAAAGTGGAGGACTAGGTACCGAAGGATGCTATTATAAGAAGGCATACACATTACAAATGTTTTGACTCTCAACCGCTTGAGATCTTTTGTCACACAAGCCATTCAGCAAATATTTAAAGAAGAGGGAATTCATACAACTTCTTCCGAGTCTTTTGCATTCCTAGCACTAGAACACTTGGTCTACGCTGACTTACCCCTATACTCCAACTCAGAGCTTCAACATGCGTACTTTGACACAAAGTATGTGATACTAAGTGTTACAACCAACATGGTTCACATATCGAAAGCATGGATCCTTTCATGCATAGCAAAACATTCATAATCATCACTCATGTCAATCAACATAAACATCATACATTCCAACACATTCATACATAAACATCATACATTCCAACACATCCATACATAAGCCAATTGTGCTTCGAAATGGTTCAACATACTTTGTGTCATTCGACACCTGCTACAATGTGCCTCGGCACCTTGCCCTTATTCTCACCAACTAGGTTATGAAGGAACTTACATTCGTGCCACCAACCAGGTGATGAAATGTACAACCCATACTCTAATATTATTTGGCAACTTGTCACTCTTATCACCAACTAGGTAAAGAATGAACTGATCTTTGTACCACCAACCAGGTGATAAAATGTGATAAAGGAACTCATCTTCGTACCACCAACCAGGTGATGAAAGCAACTCACCATTCATTCCACCAATTAGAAGACGAATGGTACAACTTGTACATGTGAACTCCTAGCATTCACAAATAATCAAAAACCTTCAAGCTTTACAACTCAACTAAGGGAGCACTTATACTCAACAAGAGTTATAGTTACCAACAAAGTCTTATTGCAAGCCAACAACAACTTCAGTGCATGGTATACGAAGATCAAGCTATTCAGCCCTCTTGCATCTGCTTGAGACATTTCTCCGCTGTAACAATGCAAACACTACAACTCGTAGAAAGCTTCACACACTCTTCATTAAGACTGTTCGAAGCAAATTCAATTCCTTCAACTACTACAAGGTGTGGCTTGTATATGTTGTCTCTTTTACATTTTCAAATTTCCAGTTCTCCCAAAAAAAAAAATCGAAAAAGGGAAATTGGGAAATTCAACAAAACTTCATCAATGGAGGACAACTACAAACTCTCAAAAGCTTCATACACTCTTGATCAAGATAGTGTGAAGCAAAACCAATTTATGGTAGAAATCAAAAGCTTCATCAATGGAGGACAACCACAAATCTCAAAAGTTTCACACACTCTTGATCAAGACAGTGTCAAGCAAAACCAATTTATGGTGTCAATAAGAGCTTCATCAATGGAGGGCAACCACAATTCTCAAAAGCTTCACCCACTCTTGATCAAGACATTGTGAAGCAAAACCAATTTATGGTGCCAACAAGAGTTTCATCAAAGGAGTTCAACCACAATTCTCAAAAGCTTCACACACTCTTGATCAAGACAGTGTGAAGCAAAACCAATTTATGGTGCCAACAAAAGCTTCATCAATGGAGGGCAACTACAATTCTCAAAAGCTTCACACTCTTGATCAAGACAGTGTGAAGTAAAACCAATTTATGGTGCCAACAAAAGCTTCATCAAAAGAGTTCCATCACAATTCTCAAAAGCTTCACACACTCTTAATCAAGACAGTGTGAAGCAAAACCAATTTATGGTGCTAACAAAAGCTTTTACACCAAAGCTTCACCTAGAAAGTTTCAACACAAAAGCTTCACCTACAAAGCTTCAACACCAAAGCTTCATCTACAAAGCTTCAACACAAAAGCTTCACCTACAAAGCTTCAACTCCAAAGCTTCACCTACAAAAGCTTTAACTCCAAAGCTTCACCTACAAAGCTTCAACACAAAAGCTTCACCTACAAAGCTTCAACAGAAAAGTTTCACCTACAAAGCTTCAACTCCAAAGCATCATCTATAAAAGCTTTAACTTCAAAGCTTCACCTACAAAGCTTCAACACAAAAGCTTCAACACCAAAGCTTTAACTACAAATGCCAAAAGTTTCACACACTCTTGATCAAGATAGTGTGAAGCAAAATCAATTCATGGTACCCAACAAAACTTCACCTATAAAGCTTCAACATCAAAGCTTCACCTACAAAGCTTCACCTATAAAGCTTTAATATATATATATATATATATATATATTTTCTTTCAGATATTCGAAAATTTGAAAACTTGAAAAT